AGTTTTTAAGCACAGTCTCTAGATCTTCTAGTGCTAATGTGGGAAGTGAAATTACTTAAAGTAATAGAGGAAAATTTTTAGTTTTATTTTGATAAATAATTGCTTTATGGTCTAAGCTACAGTCTGATTATGGAATCCTTAAAAACACTACACAAAAGAGACAGAAAAAAGCCATGCGTGAATATAAGTAAGTATTTGAAGCTTTACTGTCCTTGGGGGAAAACCACTGACAACCAACAAGTGCCTTCAATTAGTATGAAATGGTAATTACTTTTTAAGTTAAAACTTACATGTCTTTTCCAAAATATTCATTAATAAGTTATTGAAGCTCTTTTTGCAGGATAAGACCTTTATAAATACTGAATGATGACTTAGCTCAATTTACAAAAATATTTGCAGGAAACTATTTGATTTGTTATTCTAATGTCATTGAATTTGCAAATGGAATAAAAAGGGGAAATAAAGGGAAGAAAACCTAGTCTTTCCACTAGTTTAAGCTGTTCAAGAAGTAATTGATATGTGTAGTGTAGACGTTTGACAAGTGTCTACTTTCCTCTCAAATGTTCAGACACAAATATTACATGATAATTTCTGACTCTATCCAAAACCCTATTATCATAACAGCTTCTTGGAAAGAAAAGAGATTATACTAGGACTGATTTCAACTATGAAGCCAAAGTATAACATGGTAATACAAATGCAAGCCTTGTTCTTTTTGATCTGGAGTGTCACCTCAGACGTAGCACTGCACTGGTGGCTGACATTCTTTCTGTCTACTGTCTGGGCTGCTTCATGCAAGAACTTTGGTCTGACTGCTGCTCAGATATGAAAAACAATACCATAACGGATATAAGACTAATTTCTTTTAGCCTCTTATCCTTTAGGAAGGCCATTAAAGAGAGGAGAAAGTGTATTTTGTACCTTGCTTCATGCTACCTTCGTTTTGGCTCAGCTTGCCTACAGTAGCATCATATACAGGTGGGTCAGCCACATGAACATGAGGAAGGATGGACCACTCACTTAAAAAAGAAGCACACAAAAACCCCAAACCAAAGGCATTTTTTTTTTTGATCTGAGATACACGACATTTCTTTTCTCGTCAGAATCAGGATTGATTCTGAAATGTTCGTTGTTTGTAGAAACAGCATAACGATCATTAACAATGAAATTTAAGAAATACATCTTTTTATTAGAAGTCCTTTTTATTTTATCAAGAATTCTTAATCCCTTCATTACAAACAGTGTTTTTTTATGATCTCTCCCACGACTGTTTTTCTTCATTGCACTTTTTTTTTTTTATTATATCATCTCTTACAGCTCCCTTCTTTCAATACTCTCTACACTTCTCTACTTTTTATCTTATGGAGCCTGTGTCTTATAGGCTCTGGACATGTTGATGGGTTCAGCTCTTAGTATATTACACAGTTTAGTCTATTCTAGAGAAAT